GAGGAACTGCAAACTGGAGTGCTGTGGAATTAAACCATTTGTGCTTTTGCTTCCTCAGAGCTGCAAGCTGCTGCTTACCCTCTCTGGGCGAGAGGCCCTGCATGGACCCCGGCTCCAGCAGCCTGCGGGGAGCTGGCTCTGGGCACGGCGTGGCTGGTGAGTCCCCTTTGGCATCTGGCATCACCTTCCTAATGCCTGCAGGGATTTGGGGATGAACCGGCCGGTGGGGCAAACGGCCAGTCCGTGCAGTGTGCAGCATCTCTTAAACTGCTGCTGCTGTGGAAGGGGTCTCCCCCTCCAGCACTGTGTGGCTGGAGACCCTCGAGTGCCCCAGCCAAGGGCTGGCAGCTGTAACCCCCAGGGTGGGCTTCTGGTCCTTTGCTGATGGCTACGGCTGAGCCGCTTGGGTCAGGAGCAGTTTGGGGAGGTGGGGTTTGGCTGACTTCCCTCTTCCCCCTTCCTCTTCTAGTGATACCATCAGTCTGGGCTGGGCTGCGGGGCTCGGGCAGCTCAGCCACCCACATGGAGCAGCCAGCGGGAAAGCTGCAGGAACTGGGAAGACCCCCAGGCTTTAGCAGGGCACAGTTTGGACACCGAAGCAGCAGCTTGTTTCAGAGCTGCATGCTGTGCCTGGGGCAAGCTTCTTGCTGCTGGGGGGGAAAAAAAAACCTTAGAGGTGCCGAGCCTGGCCGACTTTAGGGGAGAAACGCAGCAATGGGCCGTTTGGGGCCTGCAAGGGGCTGCTCGTGTGCACCATCCACAACGAGCCTTGGCCAGAGGTGTCTTCCTCCAGTGCTGGAAGTGCCCAGCCCTTGGCTGGGAGAGCAGCTGGGGGTCCCCCACGCTGCAGCCCCTGAAGTGCTCGGTACCGCACCGTCTTGCAAACGGTGCCAGGGAGGCCGTGCCGGGGCAAGCCTGGCTCTCCCCGATGTGGTGTTGAGAACTCTCCACCCACATGCCAGCATCGTGTCGGAGATTGGGGTCAGCAAGCGACCGCAGTAAATGCTTTTTATTTTCTACGTTGCTGCAGCACTGTGTAAGCACAGATATAAATAAGTTCCTGAACTCTGTTTCTCCGTAGAGAGAGAGCCGAGGCACGGCGTATCCATCTGTGAGCCCTCACAGCCCGGCTTCTGCTGCGCCCTGGACGCTCCGCCAGCCATCGCTGCCTCTGAAGCTCAATGGTGAGTTTGCAAAGGAACTAAAAATCCTCCACAGCAGAAAGAAGCTGGCAGGCACAGAGCAGCCGCGTGCTGCACAAAACCAGCCGCACCACGTGTCCGGGCTCAACTTTGTTTGGATGCTGGGGTGTTTGGGGTTTTTTTGGGGTTTTCTTTTTTTCCCTTCTGCTTTTGCCCTTGGAGGGAAGCAGCGCCCATGCCCACACGGAAGGCGGAACAAGCTCCTGCTGCCCGTGCTGGGTTTTTGGGGATGACTCCCATGGGTTTCCAGGTGGGAAGCTGCCATAAGAACTGTTTAATGTGACTTGCTAAAGCTCAGCTTCAGTCCTGGATCTCCCTGGACTCGGAAAACACTGGAGCCTGGATGCTTTCTTAACAGGGCCCAAAACCCCACGGTGGAGCAGCCGTGCACGGGATGGGGACAGGATTCAAGTGTTTCATGTGGAGGAGCTCACCTCCTCCCTTAGCTTTGGTTGTTTGTGCCGCAGGCTTCCCAGGTCTGGAAAGCTTGCACAGAAGCTCACGAAGAACCACCCAGCCAGAGTATTAGAAAATATCCCAGTTTTATTGGAGCATTTCCACTTCATACAGTGTTTTACAAAATGTATTTACAGGCTCACTAACTCGATTGGAGTGTGCTCTTCTCGGGGCAAGGAATGGGCTACGTGGGAGAAAAGAGATCAAATCAGCACATTCACAAGTCACAGCGTTGCATTTTTCTTTACAAAAGAAAGAAGGGTTTAAGACTGGGGTCGAGCACAGCTAACCCGGGTTGTTGTTGCAGGGGACAAGCTCCAGGAAGGCCTTTGGTGCAGCGAGGAAGGGGAAGTCACCGAGTGCAGCACAACACAGCTCCCCGGGGCTGGAGCTCGGCAGAAGCTGCGTCGGCTCAGCCACGGCACAGTGATGCTGGTCGGATGCCCACCTGCACATGGATTCCCTTGGGGTGAGGGGCAGCAGTCCCATAGCCCCGGCACCATCAGAAACCCAGTCAGACAGCGGAGGAGACCATGGCATGGGATGCCATCAAGGGAGGGATCCCCCAAAACCACGGTAAGGACTCCTTCCCCACCCCCACCCCCAACTGAAGACCAGAAAAGAGGTGTGGATGGCAGTTTGAAAACATTCTGAAAGCTTGTTTTTGAACCTGTCCCAATAAAGTTTGCCTCTAAACACACCAAGTGTTTGTCTTTTTTCTTTTTTTTTTTTTAATTTTTTTTTTTTTTTTTAAATTACCTGTGCTGTTCCACTTACTTTGGATGTACCTCGAATGACTGTTCATTCAAGTTGTTGGTTTATGGGAGCTGTGCTCACTTACCCACAGAGGGAAATTTCTCATACGCCAAACATTGATTTCTGAGTTGGGGAACACCAAGGGCTAAACTAAACCCTCAGCTCTGGCTGCTCAGCTGGCACAGGGAGTCCCAGGCGCTTGCGGCGAGGTAGAGGGAGGGTTGAAGTTCACAGTAGCGGCTGTGCGCTGCCGGGAGGCAATGACAGTCTCCAGCCAGTGGTGTACAAGAGCTGTCCATGGCCCCGTGGGGACCAGCGTGTCCCTACAGCCCCGTATGCTGTTTGATCCAGTCTCGCAGGCTGGTGACCCGGCTGTAGACTCCAGGCTTGTTTCTCTGGGCGCAGCCGTCGCCCCAGCTCACTACGCCCGCCAGGAACATCCGATTGCTGGGCTCCACGCTGACCAGTGGCCCTCCAGAGTCCCCCTGCATGGACACAAACAGGAGCATAAGCACCAGCCCTGCACATTGTCCTAAAGCAGAGAGATAAATAGAGGAAATCACAAAAAACAGCTCTAAGCCCTAACTCCAGTCAAATGCCAAACAGCTGACTGACTTAGTCTCCAAAACAACTGTCTGTACAACTCCCTGCATCAAGGAAAAAAAATTGTACATAAATATTTTTGTTTCAAATATAAGTATGTATGGCAATGAGAGCCACAGAATAGAGCTATGCAAGGGGCCCGTTTGTTACCCAGAGGCTGAGCTGGCAAAACTGGAGCATGGTCGCACAGTTTCACCAGGTAGGGTGCAGTTTTTGAGCCTAAAAGTCATGCACCAACACAATTTGCTGCTCGTTCATCCGTTGTCCAAATCCAGGAGGCTCTGCGTAGATTTGTTTGTTGTGGTTTAAATGTGGGAATATGAGTAGAAGTGCCAGAATAAAAAAGAGAAGGGCTGAGCTAACGGCCTGTCTTCCTAACTAAGGCTCCTCCTCGCGGCGATAAACCCGAGCGCTGGCCTACCTGGCAGGCATCTACGCCGCCCGTCAGGATCCCCACGCACATCATGCGTGGCGTCAGCTGGTCCGTCAGCAGCTCGTTGCACACTGTCTGGTTGATGAGCCGGATTTCTGCTTTCTGCAAGATGGAGGCTCCAGTGCCTGCCAGGAGGGAAGGGCAGCGTCAGTGGGAAGGCAGCATGAGTAAAAACGCACAGCAGTTTTAAGCAGCCTTTTGCTCAGGCTCTAACCAACCAACTTAATCGCCGGGTAAATCCCTGTTGCAACAACCCGCTTTTTCCTAAAACCATTTTTCCAATGGGACAGAGACATTAACTTTGCACACTGCCAAGGGAGTCTCATTTGATTCCAGTCTCGAGGCAAGCTAATACATTGAAATTGTGTCCAGCCAGCCCCCTTTTTCCCCAAAGCCACACGGGCACTTCCCTAAAACAAGGCAAAAGCAGCGCTCACCTCCTTCCACGGTCGCTCCCCATCCAGTCACCCACAGGTCCTTGCCCACGGGGAAGTTGTGGGTGGCATCGGGCAGGCAGATGGGCTGGACGACAGAGGAGAAGGTGACGGGGGCCTGCAGCTCCATCACGGCGATGTCGTAGTCGTAGGTGTAGTCGTTGAAGAAGGGATGGGAGATGATGCGCTTGATTTTCCGCGTTTGCACGTTGGCGCCGTTGCGGTTGCCTTGGTCGGTCAGGCCCAGGTAGGCTGTCCACAGGGTGGGGTCTGAGTACCTGCACGAGTCCCAAAACACAGGGCAGGGTGAGGCCCCCCTCTCGCAGGTATCCTAGCTCGCTATCGTGAACGGTTACGTGCCAGTAAACCCATTTTTTCCTATTCAAGGAAAAGGCCTGAACACGGAATTGTGGCCGTTGGGGTCCCCGATGCGGCTCCCGCCTACCTGATGCCCTGCAGCTGCAGGAAGCAATGCGCCGCCGACACCAGCCAGCTCTCTGAGACGAGCGAGGCCCCGCAGATGTGGCCCTGGCCCTTGACGTGGAGGCTGACCTGCCACGGCCATTCGCCCACGTCCGAGTTCTGCCCGCCGACGATCCGCGACTTCCTCGCGTAGGAGCGGGTCCCGCAGTCTGGGGTGGGGAAGGAGAAGGGGCACTGGGCGACTCCCGTTCCCATTCAGCGCCTCCCCGTCCTTCCCCGGGGGGGTATCTCCCACAGCACAAGCACCCCGTTACCCGTGCCAGGGATGGCTGGTGCCGTCAGCACGGGACCACAAACGCTACATTTGCTAAAACATTTACTGGCCGAGCCAGTAAATGTCTGGGCACCCCCTGCCAGGGTTTCACCGCCCTCATGGTAAAGAATTTCTTCCTTAGATCCAGTCTAAACCTCCCCTGCCTCAGTTTAAAGCACCCCCAACTCTCCCAGCCTGGCCTCCTAGCAGAGGGGCTCCAGCCCTTGCATCATTTTAGTAGCCCTCCTCTGGCCCCACTCCAACTGTTCCAGCCCTTAAAACAACATTGCTTCTCAGATGACACTGGCCTTGGCTAAGTGAGTAAGGTGACATAGGCAAGAACAGCAAGGAAATAGCGTGTGCTGCAACCTCCTCAGAACAGGGGTGGCCTTTTTCTTGTGTGTACTTACAGCCCCTAAACTGACTTTGATTATCCGTCCTTAACATTTCCTCTAGTTTTGGCACCCCCAGGCTAGGAAGGCCATCGGCACAACCCCTCTGGTGGGAATGTGGCTCTGGGCTTGCCTGCAAGGAGTCTCAGTGCTGATTACCTAGCCCAGGAAAAGTCAAAAAGTGAAGCCTCTCCCTAAGAAAAAAGTAGCCCTAGCTTGGTGCAGCTTAATTCTCCAGTGAAACCAGTGAACTCTCCTGCCCACCCCAGCATTCACTTTGTCACCCATCAGTCTCTGCCACAGCAGCTGTAGCTCCAGCAGTTAGTTAGGAAAGCTGGGGCTGTAGCACACCGAGACATCGGGACAGCCTCTTTCTTCCTAGTCCCTCAAGTGTTTCTTTCTCTGAAGGAACCCGCGTCCCCCCTTCCCCGGGGTACTCACTGCAGTTGTCCTCGTCAGATTTGTCTTCGCAGTCCTGCTCCCCGTCGCACTCCGGGTTCTGCTTGCTGATGCAGTGCCCGTTGCGGCACTTGTAGGTGTATTCCTTGCAGGGGACGGTTGCCTGGATGGCTGCAAGGCAGGACCAAAGGGAGAAGGGTTAGCCCCAGCGCTGGGGAGGCCGCACCGTTCAGGAGCTCTTCACTCCTTCTGCCACCCCGTGGAAAAATGCACGTCCCGAGGAAACCCGTGAGAGGCTGCAGGTGAGGGGAGGGCCCCTCCACAGCCCGTCCTCACCCTTGCTGCAGCTGCCCTCGTCGCTCCCGTCCCCGCAGTTGTCCTTGCCATCACACTTTTGGGTGTTGGGGATGCACTTCCCGTTGTTGCACTTGAAGCTGTCAGCTGCGCAGCCTGGGGAAAGAGCGAGCAGCTCCTGAACCCCGCAGGGCCCCCAGCACACGCCTGTGTCCCCCTCCCTTCCCCCGAGACCTGTACAGCCTCTGTGGCTACAACACAGACACCCGTTTCCTGCACCCCCAAGTCTTTTCTTCTCTAAACTGCACACCGACACTGATCTGTGCGGCCCTTCCTTTCCCAAAAGCCCACGTTTCCTACAACCCTGCTCATCCTCGTCTTCCTCCTCTCACTTGGGGGCTCGAGGATGCTGCAGCAGGCTGGCATTTCGGGTTTCTTGCTCCTTTTCCATCACGGCACTTGCCCTCCTCCGCGCCGTGAGCCTCCATCGCCCCTTTCGCCTGGCTGAAGCCCTCAGCCCTTCCCGCCCGCGGGGCGCGTCACTTACTGCACTGCAGCTCGTCGCTGTTGTCGCCGCAGTCGTTCACGTTGTCGCAGACCCAGAACTTGGGCTTGCACCAGCCGTTCTGGCACTTGAACTGCTGGTCGGTACAGGCTGAAAAGGGAGAGCAAGAAATCAGGGGAGAGACCTGCGAAGGCACCTGCGACCCAGCCGCCACCGCCTCTACCGCAGCGTCACGGGAGAACCCGGGCAGCTCTCCCAGCAAGGAAGAACCGTGCCAGATCCCAAACCAGGGGATCCCGTGCTCTCTCATTAATTCCAGACCCTGGCCAATAAGAGATGGGCTTGTTCAGTCTGGAGAAAAGGCGGCTACGTGGAGACCTGATTGCGGCCTTCCAGTACCTAAAGGGGGCCTATAGGAAAGATGGGGAACGTCTTTTTAGTAGGGCCAGCTGTGTTAGGACAAGGGGAAATGGTTTTAAACTAGAACAGGGTAGGTTCAGGATAGAGATAAGGAAGAAATTTTTTACAATGAGGGTGGTAAAACACTGGAACAGGTTGCCCAGAGAGGTAGTGGAGGCCCCATCCCTGGAAACATTCAAGGCCAGGTTGGATGGGGCTCTGAGCAACCTGATCTAGTTAGCAGTGTCCCTGCTCACTGCAGGGGGGTTGGACTAGATGACCACTAGTGGTCCCTTCCAACCCTAAACATTCTATGATTCTATGATTATCTACGAGATAGCTCTGCTAATCCAAGAGGAAAACTTGTTGCAGGAAGAAACAACTCCCATCTAACACAGAGGTTTTCCAGATGTGCTCTGCAATGCCTGCCCCGTTCGTTAACAAAATACGCTCCTTTATGCCACCCAGCTCAGCCAGGCTCAGCTAAACCTGCCTGGAGGATTAAATAGAAACACACATATCCCAGCTGGGAGGGACTGGGAAGGGAGGGAGATCCCACTGGGAGAGGGCTAGATTACTGGGAACCCGCAGCTCCTACGCTGGGAAAGGACCCCAAATTGATCCCCGCACCCAGCGCCTCTCACTCTACCCTGGAGGAACGCTGCGGCGCTGGTGCTCAGGATTGCGGCGAGCAGGGAGACCGGGCAAAGCCTCAGCCCTAAGGCTTAGCTAGCCAAACCAAGCCCAGAGCAAACACCCGCAGCCACCCCGGGGTGGCACGGCCCTTCCCGTGACAAGCCGAAAAGGAACAAGGGACGGACTTACTGCAGGATCTCTCGTCGCTGCCATCCACGCAGTCCAGCCACCCGTCGCAGCGCATGCTTCTGTCAATGCAGCGGCCAGTGTTGCAGGCAAACTTGCCAGGGCAGGCTGAGAGGGGAGAAAGGGATAAAATGACACGCGAACCTTCCAGCCATCCCCTCTATGTCCCTTCCCCAAAGCACACAACGTTCCCTGGGCCTGCTTACAGCATCCAGCATTAAAAACACCTTTTCCTCAGAGCAGAGGAGGAATACAAGGAGGTTTGCAGGGAAACATGACGTGCTCCCATCCCCTAGGAAAGCGCACTTCCCAATTTACAGGGCAGCGTAAACGCAGAGGAGGGACGGCCTCCAGACCCCAGGCAACTTGGTTCCCCCCACAGCCTCAGGGTTTCAACTCACGATCGCTGGAGTCGTAGGACAGGTACTCAGCAGAGAAGCCAGTGTCCGTGTAGGACTGGTCTGAGTGGAACCGGACCTCTATTTTGTTGGTAGTACTGGCCACCACGAACTGGGAACGCTCCCCACAGTACCTGCAGGGGGAGAGCGTGACGATGAAGGGAGGGCCGCGGGTCAGCCCTTCTTCCAGCCCCGAACCCCCCACCGGCACGCAGGGTCACTTGGCACACCCAGACAGCTACGGGGGCAGGAGAAGAGAGCAGCACCGATTCCAGCACGAGCTGCTGGGCCTCAAGCTCTGCACGCAGGAGGTGAATTTTGCTGCCCTTGGCAGAAGGTTTGGGCCGGTTGCAAACGCCACCAAGCTTGGAAGTGACTGGGAGCGAGTTCATCCACATCCCTGCCTGACGCGGTGATGCCTCTGATCTCAGATCCACCGTCCCTCTGGATTTTTGTGCAGCTTTTAAAGCCGCAGGATCCCCTCCCACCACAGGTTGGTAGGAGTGACTTTACACAAGGAATGACTTTACACAAGCACCACGGCAGAAACGAGCCAGGGCCAGAGATGCAGGCACTGTACTTTGAAACCCTCTCCCTTCGAGGAAGGGTCAGCTCCCTTGCCCCAAAATGTTGTGAAACCACGCTGCTCACTCCCCCTGTGCAGTACCAAGCTGTATTTTTGGCCCAGCTTACTTTAGGTTGTGCAACAGCAAACAGTAAATGCATCACAGAACACAACGCAATTACCCTGACAATGGAGATTTGCTCGTTCAAGCAAACCCACGCCAGATGCTTCTGCCTTTCTGCCCGGAAGGCTTGTGATGTGATGTTCCACAGCATCTGGGGGGGCTCGGCTGCAGCATGCAACAAACCCGGGGTCTAATACCCAGAACCAAGCGTGCTGCTCCCCTCTCACCACGGGCCATCGAGCAGGTCAGACCCAAGCACCCTCCTGCCTCGTCGTATCCCAAAAAACACCAGCACGCTCATTCCCACAGCGTGTTTAAGGAAAGCACAAGGTGCCCTATAACTAAACACTCGAAGGACCAAAGCCACGGGTCAGCCGGAGCCTGACACCTACCTCGTGTTGTTGATCTGCACGTAGTCCTTGGTGCAGGAGCTGATTGGGATCCCGGGCTCCAGCACGAAGAACATGTTGAAACGCACCTTCACATTCTTTTTAGAGGGAACCTGCAACAGGAAGCAGAGTTGGTTTTTTTTCTGGAGCACAGAAAATGGGAATAAGTGTTGTGGGAAAAGGGTTTTGGGGGGAGGACAGAAGGTGACTGAAAAAGGAAAGAAGTCCAGCAGAAAAGGAGACACCTTCCTGCAAAGCCACTATAGCTCACACTGTCATTTAAACAGTGGCTTGGCTCGCTGACCCCGGAACCCCAGAGCAAACAAGCATGCAGAGGGGGGGCTGAAGCCAGACCTCGGTCAGCAGCGCCTGTTCTCCCAGGGCAGAAGGTTTCCCCCACCGCCAGTTTTGCCAGCAAGCAGCTGGCCTGTCCCAAAGCCCACATGGTCTAGCGCTTTTCGTGCAAAGCTGCAGTTACTGGGGGCTACGATAAGCATCAGGCGGGGCTCAGGCCCCTCGCAGCCTCTTCTGCCTTTGGCACCAGCTCCTAACGCCTCCCTCCAGCCACGTCAGGCTCTCAGTCTCCAGGCAGCATCTGCTGCGAGCTCGCCTGCACGCTGTCCTGCATAACCAGGTTCATCGGACAGACTAATTAAGGCAAAGAGAGGACCTCGTCTTACCTCTATGTTCCAGACACAGTCCATGGCTGGGGGGTAGTGTGCCGGGTAATAGGGAGTCGTGAAGGTGCCACTCTCTCCTTTCAGAGTCCCGCTGCAGGCTAGAAGATAAGCAAGAAGATGAAGACAGGTTAGAGACGTAGAGAGACGTGGTTTTCCCAGGCCTTAGCTGGCTATCACCCGAGGCAGGCAGGGAGGCAGATGCAACAGTCTCTAACAAGGTTAAGTCGATCTCTGGAGAGAGCAGCTCGGCTCCGAGGCTTGGAGAGAACCCAGGAGATCAATTAGGTGCTTCCTGCGTACATCAATCTGCATGTCTCATCCGACATAATTCTTATTTTGCCCTCCTCAGGGGACATCATTATAGCAGCCAAGAGCACCGTGGGCAAGGCAAGCTCCAAGAGCCAAGACGTGACCCGCTTCCAGGTCTCCCAGCCCTGGAAACACCCCCAGCCAACTGACCGCAGCCACGGCTACACCTCCCTCTTCAGTTGCCCGCGGTGGGGAGAGGTGGGGGGGAACTGGGCCAAGGCCTCTGCTCACCTTTCATCTTCGGGAGCTGGAAGAACTCAGCCTTAAAGCCAGGGAATCTCCCCTCCTTGTTGGTAACCAATGTGACGAGCATGACGTTCTGGGAGGACAGGAAGGTCAGGTTGTAGGAAGGGGCGTAATTCCCACAGAGCCTAGGAAGTAAAGGACAAAATCTGTTAGACACAGCTGCATGGAGAGCCTCAAGCAGCACAGATCACCTCTGAGCAGGGACAGGAGCTCAGTTACCAGCAGGACTTCTCATTATCGCCCCGCCACTTCACGCCAAGACTCGGGGCCGTACAGGAACCTAATGGGGACACTCACCTGACCAAAGCATGGGGCTCCACGGGGCTCAGAGAGTTGTACACCTTGATGTAGTCGCTGTCAGCTCTGCACTGCTCCAGCTCCAGCGTCTTGAAGGTCAGGCTGATGATGGAGTCGGCGTCCGCCCTCAGTGCCCAGTAGCAGAGCGCGTTGTTGGGGTACGGGCTGTTGGGGAAGCCCGGCGTGGTGAAACTGGTGATCTCCCCTTCCTTGGCATGGAGGGCAAACATGCAGCTATCTGCCCAGGAAAGCAGGGAAGGGTTAATGAGGCAAACAAGGAGGTTCTGCCCTGCTTTTTCCCTTCAATTTGCAGAGCAGCACTTGTAATTCCTCCAGGCTGTCCCTGGACAGATGCCTCCTGCAGAGAGCACCCTTGCTTATCAGCCTCCATCTACCAAGTGAGGCACTGGGGAAGGGCAGCCAGGGCTATGCACTACTGCTGGACAACAGCAAGGCCTGTGCCGCAGCCTGGCTGACCCCAAATCAGCTCCAAGCAGCACAAAGGGGTCTGCCTTGCACGCAGAGCACCTCTCTTCAGGTTCTTCCACACCCCGCAAGGGAAATCGCCACCCCAAAGAGGTCTGGGGACGCACAGAGGCTTTTAGGAGACTGAAGAAGAGCTGTACTTACTGTCCCGAGCGGAGTCAGCTATGCTGGGATCAGCAGCTGCAGGAGAAAACAGAGGCGTTGTCATCCTTTGGGCTGTGGGAAGTCCCCGGGTGCAAAGCTGAAGCAGTCCCTGGGACCCGCATTGATCTGGCCTGGCTTGTGGGGTCCCCCCCTGTAAGCTGGCCCATGGGAGGCTGCTCCTGCCCGGGCTCTGGGGAGCCGAGGGATCAAGCTTGTCCTCTGCAGGAAGGAGGATTCACCCCTGTCCCTCTCCAGATGGGCTCAGAGGAGAACACAGAGCATTCAAGCGAAGGGGAGCGGGTCCCTGCAGCCTCTCCCAGCCTGCATGGCCCATCAGAGCAGCACTGTGAAAGCCAGGTCCTTCCACTCACCCCTAGAGCGGTCCCCGCTGCCGAATGCACCCAAGGGAGGGCTGCGCCCAGCAGCTTACCCCTCCAGCGAAACATACCCCCCTCCCGGTCCCACACAGAGGCCCAGGGACGGCAGAGCCAGCACTCACGGAAAGCGATGACCGACTCCACCTTCAGCACGGGGTTTCGCAGGCGGGGGTTCCACCTCTGGACCAGGCTCTGCTTGTCCGCCATCGCCCTGTCCAGGCTCTCCTCCCGGTACTTGGGGACAAGGAACTCTGACCAGTAGTAGGCAATGACGCTGCCTTCACTGCAAGGGAAGGGCAGTTATGGGGTGAGAGCAAGGACAGACGCAAGAAGGCTCAAATGTCAGTAGAAGAAGGGTCCAGGCTACTTGATGAGCTGTTTTTGGAGGATGGCCATGGGAAAGGGAGACTCTCAATGACAAGTTAAGCAAACTGTGCCCAGCAAAGGCCCCTGCCAGCCCAGGGAGTCCCTTTCAAACCCGCCAGGCACCACCCACTGCGGTTCATAGGGCTCTACTGCACCATATCTTGATTCTCTCAAGACATCTCCCTTGGCACACAGTGATGAGGGCTGGCAGAACACAACATGCCTTTCACTGCCCACCCTTTGCCGTGTCACTCAGGGTGACTACTGAGGTGCCTCCATGCCCAGCAGCCCAGGAACGAGGGTGGACGGCAGTGTGACATCCCAGCATCGCCCTCCTCCACTCCCAGACAGGGCTCAAGCAGCATCTAACACTCACCTGAACGCCGTTATCACCGTCTCTTTGTGGTAAGGGCCAATATCTGCATGACTCCTGTAGATGTCCTCCACCTGAAAGGTTTAAAGAAGAGTGTTCAGCACGTCAAGAAGTGAGGAGGGGGGAAAGGCTAAAGACAGACAGAGCTTCAAGCCTGCTGTGGAAAATCAGGCCACATGGCCGGCATCCCCGGCTGCAGGAATCTGCAGGGGCCAAAGTGAGGAAGAGGGAGATCTGAGAGTCCCAGAAGCACCCAGACCTGCACACCCCAGCCTGCTCTGACTCACCTCGCCCCGCTCCTCCCCGGGGGAAGCGCAATAAATACCCAAGTCTGAGGGGAAAGGCAAGACCCACGGCTTCAGCACAGAGGGCAGACACGCTCCTGCCTCAGCTCCCAGCCCTGGCTCATCCACAGACCCTGGGATTTGCACATGCTGGGTGGCAGAGGCAGGGAGACAGCGTGGCACTGGGCTAGAGCCGTGACACCGAGACCCAGCTTAAAGGCAGGCTCCTTGCACCCAGCCCTGTGCATCACGGTGAGAGCTGAGAGGGGCGAGAAAGCTCCAAGCAGTCTTACGTGCAGGATCCCCATGGTCACAGGGCAAGAGGAAAAAGTCCTGCTCGCAGGAAGAGGGATGCAAGAAACTTCTTACCGTGCTCTTCACCTTCTGGGCCAGCATGATGAACTCCGATGAGCTGGAGTTCTCGTAAGCATCAAGGAAGTCCCAGTTCAGAACCCGTAAGTGGCCATTGAAAACCTTCCGGACGGCCACGTTCCTGTCTGGAAGGCAATGGATCAGAGGCAGAAAGAGCAGTCAGGGCTGGGACCATGGCACAGCAGGTCCCCAGTGACAGCAACTGGGGCAGGGGGGTGGAAATGGTGTCCCCCCACTTCCTGCAGCCTTTCTGGAGCTAGAGAAAGGGCACGTGTGAGCAACACGGGATAACAAAGCTTTTCCATGCGGATCTGCTCCCAGGGTACCACCCTACATGCCAGCACCCACCAGACCTCACACTCACATTTGAAGTGCCAAACCAGGAGGCCGGTGACGAGGGAGATGATCAGGAAAACAACGATCATGACGGCGACGACCACCTGCCGCTTCGGGCCACGCTTCTCCATCTTCTTGGAGTTCATGGCAGGGAGGAACTCCACCCCTTCCTCCAGGTTGTTCATGTCCTAGGAGGGGAGAGAGGGCGGGATGGTGGAAAGGCTGTTCCCAAAGCCTGGTCTGGAGAGGTCCAAGCACAAAGCAGTCTAGAGGAGAGCGACCTGCCCGCGGCAGCTCCCCGTCGCTGAGAGCACCAGGCATGCCTCGGTGCCGGCGGCCCCGCAGCCACCCCACGGCAGCACAAGCCCCAAAGGCTTTTGCTTTGTTTTTCCACACACGCCTAATTCCTTTCGGGGCCTAACACAAGTCCATCAGCTCAAGTCAACTTCAGGGGGAGTCCACACAACCCCCCCCAGTGACCATGGTAGGTCGCAAGTCCACAACCTCCAACATCTCTGCCTGCTGGCAGATGAAACTGCAGACAAAAATTCAGCCCTGCCAAGCGCTCGCGGTGCGGCAGGCGTGTCACCCGCAGCTCACGGGGCGCAGCTCGCTATGAATAGCATTCCCGTAAAAGCAGAACCTGAGATACTTCCTTCCCTTTACATTTGCACAACTCTCTGTACGTCTCTCCTGGGCCAGCGCAGCGCTTCTACGGTTCTGCTTGGGGTTTCCCATTGACCCATCAAAAGAAATAAGCCCAAAAAAATGAGATGAACAGTCAAGACGTCCCTGCAGCCCACGAGCAGCCAGACTCTCAGGACAAGATGTGTTGGCTAATGATGACACCCCTAGCGCACAGCTCTCGCTGCTGTCACCACCCCGTGCTGGGCTGGGTGACGAAGAGGAAGGTCCTTGTCGCAGTGCAAAACCCTCGGTGCCCCGGGGTTTCACTCTCTCGTGCCTTTGGCTTACCTGCCCTCCATCCTTCCCATTTTTCCCTTTTCTGAGCCTTACCGGGCATCTGGCAGCTCCCTGGGCAGCACCACGGTGCTCCAGACGACAGCAAGGACTCCGAAACACAAAGCGCCAACCAGCACAAACTCGCTGCCTTCAAATGCGTTCCTGTGCTCCGCAAACATGGTGCCTGTCCCCCGTCAGCCCAGGGCTGACACAAACATACACTAATGGCGCCGGCTAAATGTCACAAGCCCCTAAAAGTCAGGAAAAAGAACCAGCAAAGGGCTTCCTGTCACCAGAGGGGCCGCGCCCTCGTGCGGAGCCAGGCGATGAGCCATCCTCGTTGCACTTCCCTTTGGTGCAATGGCTTCACCGTCTTCTCTTTGCCGAGCCTCGCTTTGCAGGGAAGCCCAGCTCCCACTTCCATCATCCCCCTGCTCTTTTTGCCCTTTTCTTCACCCAATCTCTGCCCTCTCTTCCCACCCTCCACTCCTCACCAAAGCCTCTCCTCCCTGTGGTATTCGCCCGAGGCCCTTTACAAAAGAAAGGGACGTGGCAGGCACCTTACCCTACATTTCTGTAAAGGACTCTGTAAGTTTAATCCTCTGCAAACACTTACTAGAAGGCCACCAAGACCAGAGCACCCTGCCAGTTTTCGCACCATCCGCTCTCAGAATAATCCGAGTTTATGGTTTGAAAGCTCTCTACTACAGCACGGGGGAGGAAACCTTTGTTCATTTGCCTAAGGTTGGGCAAAAAGAAGCCAACGTGAAGCACAGCATCTCTGAGATGCCAGGCTGCTTCCATCACCAACATCCAGCCACCGCCAGAAGAAACAAGAGACCTAGCAGGGCCACGGAGGGCAATCCCAACGGGGGATGCTCCGGTTCCTCTTTGGCTTCCGTGACCATACGGGAAAAACTTGAAAAATGTAACCCAAGGAAACTTCAAAACAGAAGACACACAAAATAAAGCTTAAGTACACGTACAAACATCCTAAATCAAGAAACCCTTCAATCAAAGTCAAGACTGCCTGGAGTTTGACGCACCATCTTCAAAACAGCCATCTGGCTCCCATCAGTTTCCAAATCATGCAAGAAATGCCCCCAAACCAGGTAAAGAGAAGAAACCGGCCACAAATCTCGCAAGCATCTCCCCTCTCCCACCGTGGGGCTGCTTGCAGCACCGAGACTTCCCGGAGCTTCCAATTCATTGCTGCTGTTAGCAGAAAGAAAAGTATTTCATTCTCTTCTAACATCTGGAGGAGCCTGTGGCAAGAAACCAACCTGAGGGGCTTAAATGATCTATCTGTTCACACAGCAGCAGCTTCCCCAGGCTTCCTGGGGTCAGCGAGGAAGAAGCGCCTGCCCCCAGCTTGCGGGGGGAAAACAGCAGCTTTATGGGCTCTGAATAACAATTTCTGGGCATAAGCTGTTGAGTTTAGCTTGGCGGTGTTTCTTCCCTGAAAGGGGGATCACGCACTCCTTGTATGAGAGGCATAACAGAATCCCAGAATCCCAGCATGGCAGGGGTTGGCAGGGCCCTCGGGAGCTCACCCAGTGCCACCCCCCTGCTCAAGCAGGCTCACCCAGAGCAGGGGGCACAGGACAGCGTCCAGGCAGGGGTTGAAGATCTCCAGAGAAGGAGACTCCACAGCCCCCCTGGGCAGCCTGGGCCAGGGCTCGGGCACCCTCACAGTCAACAAGTTCTTTCTCCCGTTCAACTGGAACCTCTTCTGCTTCAGTTTGTGCCCATTGCCCCTTGTCCTGGCGCTGGGCATCACTGAGAAGAGTCTGGCTCCGTCCTCGTGACCCCCACCCTTGAGATATTTGTAGGCGGTGATGAGATCCCCTCTCAGCCTTCTCTTCTCCAGGCTGAACAAGCCCAGCTCCCTCAGCCTTTCCTCCTAGGGGAGATGCTCCAGTCCCCCCATCATCCTTGTTGCTCCAGCGTCACAGGGGGGATAGCAGCAGCAAAATGGCACAACAAAATTAGGATCTCCTCTGGCTACCTGGCGAGCAAAGAAAACCCTATTTTCACATAGCATACCCTCCAGCTGAGGGTACCTTCAGCCTGCTGCAACATCCCCAAGATTCAGTTTCACCAAACTGCCTGAAAAAAACGGGGCTCAACTGCAAGCAGGAGGTATTGCTGTGCGAGGCCAGACTGCACAACACTGTGGCTGATGCATTTTAACGTCCTCTTTGAGCTAAATGTTGTGTCTTTGCAGAGAGGAAACTCTTAGATGGGAGCAACTTATCGGCACGATTAAATCAGAAGGAAAACACAGCTCCCCTCCGCCTCCAACACACACAGACACATGCATCGCTCCTGCGGCTGCAGCGTGAGCGAAGGAAGTTGGGCAAGAAAAGCCACCATCTGGTCTTTCTTTAGCCAATTCCCCTGCTCTCCTTGGAAAAAAAAAAAGATGAAAGATCTTAAACCTTACAGCACACCTCTGTTGGTTTGTTCTTGCTCCAAAGCTGAGACTGCAGTGACACCCATGGCACCAAGAGAAATTAAAGGAGTGGGGGAACTCCCAGGGAGGTTCTTTTTGTGATTACCCCTGTACACTGTGCATAAGCAGTCACTGACACTGTTACTTGGCAGAAGTTACCCAGTGATTAGACGCAGATATGAGACTGGATCCAAAGAGCTTTCCCTCCCGGCCCTCTGTTTTGTACTCCAGATCTCCTCCTCTCCCATCCTCAGACCTTAGGTAACCACTGTATTCCCCAGCCAACTCTGACCCTTGTGTGAAGCTGCTTTGAAGAGCTGTCGCATGTCGCAGCCTGGGTAAGCAGCAGCGATTCCCACAGATTCCCTTCTCAA